ATGTTCTCTACAGCAGCATAGCACTCAGAGCAGCACTCTATAGACTGGCACTTCCTGTCAGGCCGATCAATGACCCAGCTTTTGACAGACATGGAGAATCTGAAATGCAGCAAAATTTCTAGTTTCATGTACAATCATTGGAGCTCGAGGAGGCTGAATATCATACTGCTTGTGTTATATTATGCTGTTTCAACAATCACAAAGTGAGAACTGGGCTCCTTCTCTGACTAACTATATTGCCGTGAAAGATGCTAGGTGAACTGTGGGAGATAACAGCTATTTGCCCTGCTGTGTGAGGGTCAAGAAATCGTGTATATTTGTGTAGTTTATAGTGTGTATCTTTGCTAAAAAATGACATAGAGTTGTGGCAAAGTGTTGCTTGCAGTAATGTGACAATCAGAAAATATTCCCAGTTCTAAAGTGATGTAGCTAATTTCTTTCTTGCTTTCTTTTTTATTGGTATGTGACTTTGAAAGCCAATGCCCCACTGTATTGTTTAGTGTTTATTCAATTCCTGCCTTGCCAGAGTGAATGCATTTATAAAATCTTGTAATTTCCATATAATTTTAAGCAGCTCCACATGTTCTCTGCAGAAACTGTTTTTTGTGAGTGGTTGTGGTTTTTTTGTTGAAATTACAAAATTCTGAGTGGGGGAAAAACAAAAACAAAAAAAACATCCATCTTAAATTGCACTCTACTCTGAGACCTTGTTTATGCCTTTATCTAGTTATGTCTAAATATCTCTAATTTCTTTTTGACAGATGACAGATGAGTCCACATTTTGAGATATACTTCCCAGATTCTCAAAAAGCACCAAACCAATTAGAATCACTGTGGTAAAAAAGTATTAAAGTTGTCTGCCATAACACTGGAGGTACACCCTGCCGGTAAAACTTAGGCCCCTGAAGGTTCTTATCTATATCAGATGTTACCATGTCGTCATGTTTCCTAGCAACTACTACCAATGGGCTTAAAAGACTTTTTTCAGCATTTATGCACCTGTAACACCTATAAGCATCACATTGTTTTATTTCACACCGATAATAATAATAATAATAATAATATGACAGCATCAGATTGCCTGGCAACCACTTAGCAACAGACTAAAATGACCTTTCTTTGGCTTTATGCACCTGTAACACATTATAAAAGGACCACATCAGTTTAGTTACAACAATAACATCTCATTTATAGCCACAAAAATTGAATTAAGCATGCATTGTAACCACCTAGCAATGCGCCAAAATAAGTCTTTTTTCGTTCCTTTTTTTTTACCTATGAGACCTCATAAAAATAATGTTTTTATTTCATGATAGTAACAACTAATTTAATTTTCCACAAAATTTGAATTATACATGCCTAGCAACCACTTAGCAACAGGTTAAAATGACCCATTTTTAGCATGTAAGCAAAATCTACCAACCCTGTTTTTTTATTTTTTATCATTGATATTTATTTATTTATTCATTTGTTTATTTCACTTTTGCCAACAGCGCAAACAGACCAAACAGTATTGTAGCATGGATGTGTACTGGTTTATATTATTTAACATATCAGTTAAATCCCAATTACTTTTGGTTAAAGTTATTGTGCTCAAAATAACATGACGCTGAATGTGGCCCAGTTAAAAAATAAAAAGTTGGTTTATGTATGTAGACTCCAATACAATATATTGCATGTACCCAATTGAAGAAGGCTGAAATGTTTTGGAAAGCCAACCCCTTTTTCCTCCTCAGCTGGCTGGTCACAGTTCAGAAGACTGTAGTAATTAATTCTGCAGGCCACTTCCCCTGAGGGTTCTCACAGTAGATGTCATCCGATCCACAGCAAACTCCTTTGGTTATGTGTAAAGACCAAATGAAGTCGACTTCAGAGTCTCTGTTGTCTCCAAAAAGCTGTGGTCTGCTTAGAAATAAAATTCACAAAACTTGCCTTTTCCACCATCTAGTTCAGAAATCTGAAACAGGGATGCTGTGTTTCAAGATTGCTGAAATAGACTGCTGACATCTAGGAGGCCATCCATCAGTAGGTTTCTGCAGAAGCACAGAAACAGATGCTTTCTTTTTATCACAAAGAGAATGGCTGTGTGTAACCTCTGCACAGCTCTGTGCATATACTGAGGAGCTGGAGCCAAACGGAGCTTTATCAGCGAAATGTAATGAACTCTGTGTAAGCTGGGAGTATTTGAATCACTGCTGTCCAGCATTTCAGCATCATTATTCTCTGTTTGCAGCTAATGCAAATGATTATTTGGACAAACGTCTTAGTAATATATGTTTAGGATTTATGTAAATTCTCCAGGTAATTTTTACTCTTTGACATTTCACTATGGTTTTCATTTTCTGTCATGAAATATGGATCCCCTCAAGAGTTTTCACTAATTACATTATGATGTCTTTTTTAGCCTAATATTTCTGCTGGTGATTTATACCAAGGCCATTCATAATGAAATTATTCATCGTAATCACTCCATTGCAGAGCTTAGAATTATATCAAATATAATGTCATATTGATTATAAACACTGTTTTAATTAAATTGGTTATGTTTAATTAGTCTCTCAGCAGAACATGGCTGTATAAAGGTTTGTTTTTCTCATTTTCATGATTTTAAGTAGAATTTGTTTTGGCACTGTCATTAATCTATGTGCACATCGCTCAGCATCACTGACTGTTCTCATTACCACAAACACATTACTGAAGCAAAAATCATGCTTAAAGATTACCATATTTAAATGACTGCTAACTGTGGACATTTATTACATATTCTCAAGTATACTGAAAAATAACCAGACTTTGGCTAACGTCATGAGTCCTGCCTACTGTAAGTTCTAATATAAGATGTGTTAAGTAAATTTAAAAAAAGAAATGATATCTCCTTAGGCACCAAACGTGTGTGAAAGTAAGCTAATGTTGTCAGATTCCAGGGGGAGTATGACAGTTAATACTCACTGGTGCCTCATAAGATGTGCTAATGAACAATAATTAAATCTGATGAGAATAAAGAAAGCAAGTATTTTGTGAGCATGCACTAAATGAAAGACAGTTTTGTTTTGTGAATACATTAATGTAAGATAAAAAAAAAAAACCTCTGCTCTTCAAGTTCAAATGATACACACCAAAACCATGCCTTTTTAAGCCACCATACATTAGTCTTTAAACGATGAAATAATATCATAAAATAACATTTTATTTTCTAAAAACCTTGCAAATGACACGTGTTTTCCATATTTTACTTTCTGTCAGTGTGCATCTCGGGTACCTCTTGATGTAACTAATCAGATGTGACTTGGTGTGGCATTATGGAGAGTCGGGTCATTTGGTTTCTCTGCTGCTGTAATCTGTAATTTTACCTGCATTGCTGGAAGCTAATGACCACTTCAAATCCATTACGCTTTTGTCTGGGCCATTGTGATAAGTGACTCTAATGTGCATGGCTTGGGGGGAGAGGTGTAACCTAGCTTTTATGATAGCTCGAGAACATACAGATTTAGTAGTCTACATGTTCATAATAGTCCACAATACTGTTTAAAATAAAACACAAATAGTAAAATTTCCTGGAATCAGTAGCTGGTGTGACGATATTAGGACAACATTATTTTCTTTCTTTATCCTGAAGTATCCCAAACGTGTAGTTTTGCTGCTGGCTTTGTTCACACCTCGCTTCCTACCATCTAAAATCTAAGATCTAAAAGTACTTTTAATCAGTATTTTTATATGAACAATAAATTAACTGATAAATGTGTAAAATGAAAGGTGTGTGTGTGGGGGGGTGGGGATTTTTTTGTCTCTTTTTATTTTACATTTTGATTCAGTCTGTGTCCTCCCATCAACCCTACTCCAGATGCAGGATGCAGCTGCTACTTTCACTGACAAATCACAAAAGTACCACATAAGACAGTATACAGCCCACCAGAAGAGTTATGCATTTTGTCTGGCACATGGCTCCAAAGAAATCCAAGTGCAAGACTCGTTGCTCACATTTTGCCATGTTATAACTTTGTGATAATATGGTAATATTCTTCATACAGCTCTTTCTGCTGCCTCCAAGGAGCAAAATATATCAGCTGATACACTTAAGAGTTCACGCTTCTTTAAAGCTTTGGGTTGTAACCATAAAGCCCACTTAGGAATATAAAAAGCTTTCAGTTTTATTGAATTGGAGTCTGTACTGAATCCTCTTTTGACTCTCTTTGCAGTTAAATGTACAGGTTATTTAAATTTTCATTCTGGCCCTTCTATGCCAATTTTATTGTTATTTGTAGCAGATGGTCAGAAATATCATCTAATCCCACTTTCTGGCATGTCACAGAGGTCATGAGACAAACAACAAGTGAAGTCTAAAAAGGAGAGTGCAGACTCCTGCAAATGCTGCAGTTGAACTGCATTGTGCTGTCATAATCATGATGATGGAAAGTTTATTGCATTTCACAGTGGTATGCTTTTCACCATATAGAGAAATATTCATATATGCAAAGTGTTTTATCTGAACTGTAGATTCTTTCTGTCAATGAACAGTACAGGAAGGTGTTTTGGGTTTACATGAGTGATATGGACAATAAAGCGAATACAGAGTTTATTATTTTCCAGAAATATATAGGGGAACTTCCCTTTGTCATCAAAAAACGAGTTTACTGCAAATAAAAGTCAACAGAGCTGTGATCTCAGTTCAAAATGAAAACGGCATCAAACGCTATAATTGATTTCTTTGTTTGTTTTATTTTAGTGTTTTCTGGCTGTTGTCATATTTGCATTGCAATCAAGCAGGCTTCCTTTTTAAGCAGCGTTCTAGATTGCAATCAGACACATTTAATGTCATTTTGCTGTGTTTCTGTTTAATTGTAAATGCAGTGAAGGTTCCCAGTGCATCTTGTCAAACCATGTCTATGTATGACATGTACAGAATAAACTGACACCACCGTACAGAATAAACTGAGACCACCGTCACACATGAAATAAAATTGGACAGTAATAAAGGCTTTTTCTGTTTTCTTCTAATCCAGAATTTTTCCTGGAGCTGCTGGAGAACACGGAGAGGTCCCTGAATGACATGTTTATGAGGACTTACGGCAAGCCTTACATGCAGAATGCAGAGGTCTTTGAGAACCTGTTTGCTGAACTGAAGCGCTATTACACTGGAGGGAATGTTAACCTAGAGGAAATGCTTAATGACTTTTGGTCACGGCTGCTGGAGCGTATGTTCACACTGCTCAACTCCCAGTATGTCATCACTGAGGACTATCTGGAGTGTATCAGTAAGTACACCGACCAGCTGAAGCCCTTTGGAGACGTGCCCAGGAAGCTCAAGGCTCAGGTTACCCGCGCATTCATCGCTGCACGCACATTTGTCCAGGGGCTCTCCGTTGGCCGGGAGGTAGCCCAGAGAGTGTCTAAGGTAAATGTTCTTAACCCTTTAAATTCTTTAAAAAGCACACATTTGCCCTAGTTTTCACATGATCAAGTTTATCCCAGATATACTTTCAGAGTAATTCGGATTCTCTCAGGGTATGTCTTCAGAAAATTTAGTCCTCAAGGTGGCTCGTTCATGGAGCTGTCTAGAAAACATTGTTGAAGGGTATGTGGATTGCTCAGGAGAAATTCCCAGACAACAAAAAAGGCGAGAAAAGAAATGTCTGCTATCGCTGTTTATTGCTCTCTTGCCTTATATTTGTTCATCCAGTATATAGAAGTCATTAATCACACTGTTGCCTGTGTATTCAGTTTGATGCAAAGCAATCTGTATGCAGTTCCTGCAATACCATACTGCCCTGGGAGTGTATGTAGGGCTGATCATGTACAAAGTGAGATTAAAGGGAAAGCAAAAGGCTAAGCCTTGGATTTAGTCACGCTTAACAACAATGTTGTTTCTACACTGTCATTTGGGTTCAGAGAAGCTCTGATTCACAACATTGCGAATCCACAGCCATCCTCTTTGGCTTCTTTGCTTTTTGTTTTTTCAATACAGTCTATCAGCTAGATTTGGTTATCATGTCTATTATGAATATTTATAGAGCCACTTCCCAGTAGGCTATATACCTAAAAGCTAATGAAAATATAGGAGCCTTGAATAATGAGAAACAGAGGGCAAATGGAGAAGACACTGCTGTACTCTTATAAATCCACCATTCATTTGGTCTGTTAAATCCCACCATACTTGAGCATTAACCACGTTCCCTTCCTTTCCCCTGAGGTCCCACCCTCCCTAACAGTAGTGGCAGTGAGGAGCATTTAGCCACAGAAGATGTGTTGTTAGTATGCATTTAGAGTTGTACCCTGCAGTCCTTAGAGCCCAGCATGTCCTAGCTTCACCTCTTGACATTTCAGTGGGACCTGAGATCCAGGTCATCTGTCTGGGACTGCAGCCCTTTGATCCTCAGGGTATAAAGTCATCACGAGAGATTGGGTGTAAGCATAATAAAAACAGACACCATGCCAGAGGTGTCTGTTTCTCAGCGCTGCTAAGATGTGACATCCATGCTTATTGCTCCTGGGATATACAATATATTGAATTAAAGTAGGTGATGTAGCATTTTATTGCTTTTCACAGCTTTGAGGAAGCGCAAACCTGTGTCTAGATCTCATCAGCACAGCTCAGACTTGTGCTATTTGTAGTGAATACAATTTAATAATCATTTTCCTAGTTGACAGTTTTTAGAATATCTGAAATGTCATGCAGGTAACTAAAAAGAATACTTCCATTATCTGAAAACAGTCTCTGTAGTAATAAACTCTACAGAAACAATTTGCTCTTTCGTTCTGGAAAAAAACAAAAAAGAAAAAGAAAAAGATCTCTGTTTTTTTATTTTAAGTCACAATATTATAGTTATTGTTAAAGGAAGTCACGTTGGAACCAGTGTAAGGATGGGTGCATTCTGAATATGTATTATTTGATTAACAACAATATTTTGATTGTCATTCAAAGCAATATTGATGTGTTTTCTGCATGAATTGTTTAATGGTTATAGAGAAAGAGAAAATGCACCTTTCTCTTAATTGCTCCAAATCTAAATTTGTGGAACGATGAGGCACCACTGTATTTTTCTGAAATTGTGAAAAATGTAACTTTTAAAATGTTTTTTTCAATGAAATTGATAAGTGAGCACCCATAAATACTGCTAATTCAAACATTACTAACAGTGATTATTTCTCCTCACGGCCTTGTGATCTACAAGAAACCTTTGTTGACTGCCCTGAGCTGCTGCCTTACACCTGTGTCAGGTGATACAGATGCTGGCAGAAGCATTTTTAGAATATTCAGTGTCAAGTTTTGTATTTGACGCCAGTTGTCTGCGAGTTGATGTGTGGGGGTTGTCTGCTAGTGAGGGCAAGTATGTCTATGTATAACGTGTTTTTCTTACGTGCCTTCCTCTCTTGGTGATTCTTAGCACTGCACTGTGAAAGAAGGGGGTATGAAAGAAGCAGGGCTTTGAAGCACATCAGCTGTTAAGACATATCACTGAGAGCTTCTCTAATTTGTAGACTTTGAAAAGGTCAGCCATGTTTTTTGTCTAGTCCAGGCTTGACTTGTACTTACTTGGCTTGAGTGAATGTTCAAAGGCAAAATGGCAAAATTGCAAGAGAGCTTACCACAAATACCATTTTTTGATTCACTGCACTTAGCTGTCTTCACAAAAAAAAGAGTAAATAATAAAAAATATATATGAAAAAGAAAATGAATGGGTAAACCTTAATTTTTAAGATATTTTTTGTCAGGGTCCTGCTTACACCTCTGATCTGCCAGTTCCTCAGAAGCCTTATTTTTTGCTTGAAATCATTTGCCGTGGACTTTTAGAACTACTGTACTACAATTTTCAGTTTGTCGCTGGCATGTTGCTTATGTTGTCAAATCTTGTTACATAAAACATAAGGTACTATTGTGGTATGAACACCTTCACTTCCCAATCCTTTCATGTTCTTAGCACAGGCTTTTGTCCAAATCAATTTACAATAAGTGCACTCATTTTACACAAAACAACAGCTAATTTTGGTGAAGCCGTCGCTGTGCATCGCTTCTTTAAAACAAAAAGAGCTGTGATGCTGCATTATAGCTGCTTTTCTTGTATTTTTAATGCAGTGAGACAATAATAAGTGTTAGAGTGTAGTGTAAAAAGGCACTTTTTCCAGACTAAAAGGTGTTTAAGATTTAAGAGTCTTGTTAGTTCATGAAAATAGCTCATTTAATTTTAAACATCTTAACAGGTCTTCAGAGTGCAAGTAACTGCATACTGAGAGTAGGAATAATGAATGCTCCATATTAGAAATAATGTCATCAAATGTTTTTTAGCAGATCGCATAGTGGAGTTTGTATTTGCTATGAGATCGATTTCCTCACTATGATTTCAAAAAACACACACTAATGACATTTTGCACTTTGGTACTCCCACAGTCTGATAAATGACTTGAATAGAATATAGCAGCTGATGATCCAGCTGATGGTCAGCTGTCTTCTGTAGTTTTTTTTATTGTGAGTATTACTTCAGGATCCTGTGAATGAGAGCATTTTTCATTGTAGCTAACTTCCCGCTGTTTGTCAAAGTAGCCTAAAGGTTAATTATCAACCAGGGGTTCTTGTACCCTAGAGGGTACTTCTGCAGCTTCCAATGGGCATCTGGAAGGATTAGTAATTTACAATCAAATCAAATTAACATTTGGAACATGAGAGGTTGTGGTAATGAAGGGTTGAATTCACTTCATCTGGCAGGGATGTGTGGTTTTGTCTGGGGGAAAAAAAAACACATGATGCCATTCCATGGTATCGTGAGTTATCCTGCTGGCGGCAGCTATCAGAAGATACACTGGTGCACTGTGGTACACTGTGGTCATGAAGGGTTAAACATGATCAAGAACAGAACTCAGAGAGTCTATGATATTTAAACCATTCTCAGCTTGTACTAAGGAACCCTTCACACCATTACACTGCCAACAATAACCAACAAGTTGCTGCCACGTGATTGGCTGATTAGATATTTGCATTAAGAAGCGACTGAATAGACGTACCTAACAAAGTGGTCACTAGTTGTATGTCATAATTTGTCCTATTAACTTATTAAAATAACCCTGTTTTTGAGTCGCATCGGTTATCTGTTAAACAAACTGTAGTGAAAAGCTGAAACAAACAAAGGTGCATCTTATCTCTCGCTTCACTGTTTATCATCTTCAATATCTATACATGCAGTCACTGTAACATAATGCATTTCAGAGGTGTTTAATTGTCTGTTTCCTGCAGCTGTTAGCCTATTACTATCGATGCTTGTATGTGTTTTCATACATGGAGACAGTTTATCAGGTTATCTATGAAAGCAGATTTTTCTACTTTGCCACTTTTGTCTTCTTTATTAGTTTGGATTTTTACTTTTTCATTAGTGACGTAACCCTACATTTTAAAATAGAAATTATATTCCATAGAGTGGGGAAATAGATATTTGACTTTATTTAAAGACTTGTGGTTTAATTGCAAGCCAAATTATCCTATGTGAAGTGTTCATCGGCAGTGACTGATTGCATAAGAACATTCTTTAAGTCTTCAGTCAGCAAAAACGGTCTCTCTAGGGCCTTTGCTGATTAATAACTGAAACTTTTTTTGACAATAGGACAATAGCATTATGGTAAAACTTTGCAAAAGTTTTCTACTGGACAGTTTTCTTGTTATAAATTACTCAAAATTCTTTAACTGGCACAGTTACTTCAATAAAATAGATTTATAATTACCATATATTTCGTAGGTGCTACTAGATACTAATGACCGCTGTCACATTCTGTGTCCTTGCAGGTTAGCAGCACTCCAGCATGTATTCGAGCAGTGACAAAGATGCTGTATTGCCCCTTTTGTCAGAGTATGCCAGGAGTAAAGCCTTGTAAGAATTACTGCCTGAATGTCATGAAGGGCTGCCTGGCCAATCAAGCTGATTTGGACCCAGAGTGGAACCAGTACATCGGTGAGTCTTTTCAACCACTTCCCCAGCCATTTTTATTTTAACCTCGACTCTGCTGTTCTATTATTTCTAAAGTAACATACCAATTAAATGTGTTGCTATAAATTCATGTCTGGGCGTATGGTTTTATAATATGACTGAATTGAACTAATGGATGTGGGAGAAAAGCAGAGAAAGCATGTTACATCACATGAGCACTCACAGCAAAGCAGATTGAAATTTTCACTTACACCATCACTTTTAGCTTTTCCTTTTTGCTGCTATACACAGGGTTATATTTTAATTGCATACCAAAAAGTGACACGAATTGCTTTAAAGCTGGACAGATAATAGTATGAGTTGAATAATCTTTTAAGCTCCCTGGTGTAGACCAGAGAACTGTAACTGTGCTTTGAAAGCAGTTAAAAAAGTAAGCTGAAAGCTGCACACTGGGGTGTTGTTTTGGGTGACGTAGGCAAAAGCTGTAAACCTTTTAAATTACAGAGAGTAACTGGATTAAATGTTAATATTACAAATATTGCTTTGTTTTGCTCAAACCTTAATCTTAAAGCAAAGATGCTTTAGGCACGGTGAGACCTATGTGTTCAGGAAGCAAGAGGAAAAGGCCGGAATAATTGGAATTATGTGAAGTGGCCTGGTAGTGGATGCTTATATTAAACATGGCCAAAGTTTCACATAATGAGGTCAGCATATATGTAAGTAATATATAGTGTATAGTATAGGCCAATATGTAGTGTAAAACAAAAGCTTAGACTGTTTGCACATAGGTTTTTTGGCTCTTTGGCTACTGGATCTCACTAATGGCAGGGTTACTCTGCAGAGTACCACCTGCTGTTCAAACCTTCTGATTCCAGTGAGCAGCCAATTAGAAGAAAGTTAGCTTTAAGGAAGTGTGGGCATAGGGAGGGGTGCTCAAAACATTTTTTTTCCACAAGAGTCTACGGATTACTATGGCAATAAGCATAATAGACCCATTGTAAGGAGCACTTCCAATACTGAATATTTAAATATAACAAAATTCATAGCACTAAAATGTTTGAATCCACAGTACTGCACAAGTCTTGAATCAGTCATCATTTCTTTTCATTACTAGGAAAATGGAAAATAGGTGCAGCTGCATATTGAAACATGCAAACATCCAGAAAAATACAGTATATGAAGCATAAGTTTAAGTTTGTACAGTTTTAATGAGCTTGAAAGTCAACGCTTTGTATCACCACCTTCATTCTTCAACACAGTCTGAACTCTCTGAGGCAACCTGTATTGTAATTTCTTTAAGTAGTCCACAGAAATAGTTCTTGAGGCTTCTTGGAGGACATTCAAAGCTCTTCTTTGGATGTTGGCTGCCTTTTCTTTCCATTATCTGTCAAGATGATCCCAAACTCCTTCAGCAATGTTCAGGTCAGGGCTCTGGGGAGGTCAGTCTATGGCTGAATGTCATAGACTGACCTTGTGTGTTTTTTCTATCCAGGTGTGATTTTAGTCAATTGGCAATGCGTTTATCATTGTCATGCTAAAAAATAAAGCTAAACAGACACTTTCCAGATGGTATTACATCCCAGGTTAATCTGAAAGTGCATTTCTTGCATTAATAATTCCATCAGTTTAGATGGAATTAAACACAGCTGGATACAATGCAGCTCCAAACCATCATAGAGCCTCCACCATGTTTTACAGATAGCTGTGGACATGCTGGACTGAAAATTCCAGCATCTTTAGATAAAGTCTGAAAGATGTTTAGAGGGCCTGTAGAACTACTTGAAAATGACAACAAAGTCTGGCTCAATACAGAGAAATGAGGTATGACTCAAAACTTTTTGCACAGTACTGTGTGTGAATTAGAGTTCCACACAGTTAAAGTTCTTGAAATGAAATTAGACATTACATGTTTCTGTCTTGGTGTTTTTTCTGTGCTTTCACAGCATTGAACTCTTGATGTAGGTAGCACCATAATTTCATTGAAATATTATTAATTAATAAATAAAATATTGAAAGGCAGCTTAGGTCAAAATGCTGACTGCATCAGTATGCGGGGATATACAAATCCTTGTGTTGCATTGCAGAATTGGACTTTCTATTTTTAGAGAGGCTGCAGCTGGTGCCGTGTCATTATCATATTTTGACAACATCACTTTCATTGACACTCGCTGGGCCTTTGGATAAGAAAGTGCTCTATTTGTCATTCTTCTATCATGATTCCTGTGTGAAAAGATTTTATTCATGGGATTCTGCTCTCCTGCTGGGCTAAATGGTGACTTGTAATGGGGCAGACATGCTCCGCAGGAAGTGCCAAGTTTTGTGAAGTTATGTTCCATAGAAAATTGTTCAACTCAGAGTCAACGAATACAAATAGAAATATAATATTTATATATTTATTTTCGTATTTGATAGAATGCCCAGCATGATGGTTCCTGCTGTCAGCTAGATAGGCTCAGCCCATTGGCCTGAACAAAAGCTACAGTATGATGGCGAAAATGTGACTGTTGTGAGCAGGAGATGGATTAAGAAGTTTGTATTGCCTTTTTTTAGTACAAGCTATTAAGTTTTCTGTTTTCATCTTGGTGCATACTATACATGACTCCTATCTATTTCTGGAGATTAATATTTAAAAATAATCATATTCTTTCTGTTTTTACTGAAAAATATCTCTGTATTTTAGGTTTGGGTAATTGTCTTGCTTTTAAAAAAATGAAAATAATCAAATCCTCTTATGATAGGGCTGGTTGATGAATTGATATATGAACAATATATTTAGTAAAAAACATGAGCATATTTTTTTTCGTCTGCACTAATAAATAAATCCATTACAGATTTTGAGCCCTAACACTTAGGTCATTCTTGTAAAAGTTTTTCTTTTTTTCCAGTTCACTTCAGTTCTTGTGAGCAGCTCCTCATATCTTGACACTTAGAAGTATTGTACTGACATTGTAGTGCACAACCATCTGGTCTAAGTTGTGACCTTGATTTATCTACACAAAGTTTGCCAGTCTTTGTGAGATCTACTGGGACTGTATGGAGCAGCAAATCAAAGCAATGAGCAGCTCAAACAGACTGAAAGCTGCACGAGTAAAAGCTTCAGTGCTGATTCACAGTAAGTCCTTCAGTGCTACATTACAGAAAGTCGTTTTATTCAAGAAAGTATATTAAGCAGTAGATATTGAAGATGATAGTTTAATTTAGCAGTAATTTAAATGTTGCTGAAAAATTGCTTAATCTACAAAAGGATTCCACAATGATTATTAGGATTATTTTGTAAATCTTTGTTAATCACCACAGTAGATTCAAAATCAAGCATTTAAGAGATGATTGAAGTGCAGACTTTAATCTTTAAATCAATGGATTTTTACAAAAGTATCGCATGAACTGTTTAAGAATAGCTGTAATTCAAGGAAGCACTCTTATAACACTCCGACTGAGAGGTCCCTGATATGATGCAAAAGCATCATATCAGGGACCTCTCAGTGCACATGAAAAAAATGTTCTGTGGCATCAGTCATTCACATCAATCACATTCACACTTGCACCTATGGGTATGTAATGGGATTTTTTTAACATCATTATTTTTGCCAACCTTTTTAGATCAACTTTGACTTAATTATTCGTTTATTTTTAAATCTTTTAAATCTTACGCGATCTGTCAGCAGAAGATTCTAGACTGAGCATCGTCCACACTTTTGATTTGTTGCAAAAACAAGCCTGTGACCTTTCACAGGGGGTGGTGGAGATGCTGGAACTTGTTATCGCCTTTGGTAAAAAGGCAAATGCCTCAGAGAAAATGCCTCAGCCTTCCTACTTTAACAGACCGGGCTTTACCCCCAGAGTGTTTTCCCTTTACTGAACTGAATTCATAACAGTTGAACCAAAAACTACATTAGTTATAAACATTCAAGACATGTGCCTGGATTTCATACTAGGTCATATCTTGATTGTATCTTAATTATCACAAGTAAAACACTGAATTCTTAATCTTTTATCATGACTATTGTGTGTGTTTTGTCACTCTTGACTTGTGTACATACAATATTTACTAAAACATTTATTTTTATTACTAAAATCAGCTATATCATAAGATCTAAGTGAAATAAAAATATAAATGTATAAATAAATTACAAATATAGTGTACATAATAGTTATGCTATGAACACAGACTCACCAGCCAAGATATTGGGTATAGCTGTTCAGTCAATTGCAAATATCTGATCAGCCAATTACATGGCTGAGCACGTGTTACAACCAAAGTATCCAAAATGCTATCTCTGATTCCATAACAGGCTGAAATTTGAAGCTGATGGGCTACAGCAGCAGAAGACCACACCAGTTTTCACTGCTGTCGTCTGCTGATAAGAAATTGAGACTACGATTTGTATTGGTTCGCCAAAGTTGGACAATAGGAGATTGGAAAAATATTGAAATCAATGATTTCAGTCGAAGAATTTGGATAATGTCACAAACACAAAATCATCTTAAACTGGTTTCTTGAACACTGCAATAAAATCACTGACGTCCATAGATGCCAGATCTCAGTCTAATAGAGCTGAATGGGAAATGTGCATCATGGACATGTAGCTGATAAATCTGCAGCAACTGAGTGATGCTATCATGTCAATATGGATGAAATTCTCCATAGAAGGTTTTCAGAACCTTGTTGAAACAATTAAGGCAGTTTTGAACGCAAAAGGGGGTCCGACACAGTACAAGCAAGGTTCACCTGAATAACTGTCCGATTAATGTATATGAATAAATTACATGGGGTACTGTTTGTATGTAAGTTACTACCATATTTTTTGGACTATAAGGCGCACTTAAAATCCTTTAATTTTCTCAAAAATCGACAGTGTGCCTTATAATCCGATGCACCTTATTGTCCGAAAAACACGGTAATTTTATTTATGTTATTGAAAGCACTGCTGTTTATCAACTAATAGAAAAATTATTTATAATTTCAAACTCGTTGCTTTTACTTAATCAAAATAACGAAACGGATTATTTTGAGGTTCAAAGTA